GAGTATTCTGAGGATGGACAACAGCTAAAATAGCCTGCCCTTTGGTGGGTCCACGCTCAGAACTCAAGCTGGTTTTAGCTCAACTTGTGCCATTACAGAGAGAACATATCTGACTGGTCCCACCCATAAGGGCAGTCCAGATCCGAAATGCCAGCAAGTTCTCTCTGCATGAGAGACACAGCAACCCCAGACGATCGTTTCAGCCTTGTTAGGCATCGTCAGTGAGGCATAGCTGATATCTCTCTAGGCACCGTGAGCAAGGGGTCCACGTCTGGATTACCCTTTAAACTAATGGAGAGCAAGAAATGGGTCGCAAGAGTATTCTGAACTGAAACAGTTCTGTAAAGAGGAATGGTCAAGAATTACTCCTAACCGTTGTGCACGTCTGATCTGTAACTACAGGAAACGTTTGGTTGAAGTTATTGTTGCCAAGGAGGTTCAACCAGTTATTAAATCCAAGGGTTCACATACTTTTTCCACCTGCACTGTGAATGTTTACATGGTGTGTTCAATAAAAACATGGCAACATTTCAATCTTTGTGTGTTATTAGTTTAAGCAGACTGTTATTGTCTATTGTTGTGACTTAGATGATAATCAGATCACATTTTATGACCAATTTGTGCAAAAATCCATATAATTCCAAAGGGTTCACATACTTTTTCTTGAAACTGTATATGCTTTAAAAAAGAAGATTATGTTTGTCCTTTTTGGAAGTTCTTTTACCATAGATTATAAATACTGCCAAAATCTCATAATATTCACCACCATAAACCTGTGGGACATAAAAAAGAGGTAATGTGCTAAACTAAGCTCATGGAGAAAAATATTCAGAGCTTCCATAACTCTTCTGATTATTCATACCAGTGAGATGACCCTTCACTCACTCCTTACTCACTTTCTTGTCAGACAATTTGCACTTTGCAAATCTAAAATTTTGGTTTAGAGAGATACATTGGACCTAGCCTTTGCCTTGTGGCTGATGAAGATGCAGGTGAAATTGTAATTGTAGTAGTGAAAGCTGTTGCAACATAAGCCTGTACACTAGCACTTGGTTGGTTAGCGTGAATGTAAATGTTGATGATGCTGGTACTGGTGATGTCAATGATGGTGGTACTGAAGGTGTTGCTGATGGTGGTAGTGGTGGTAATAGTAACATTTGTGAGAAAAGCTGAACTTGATGAATGGAAGTCTTTTTTCCACCTAGGTAAATATAAAACTATTTTCCTGTATATTAGTGACTCCAGATTGAAGTTAAGTGGCAGAGACTTTAGGTGTAACATTGCACAAGACATAAAGAACAGTGTCACACAAGGATGAATGAAGCAGGCTATCTCTTCCACTCAATATGTGTGTAAGGGCCAATATGGGATTAGCTAGTCAAGAGGAAATTGGCATATGAACCCAACCCCAAATCGAGCAGAATTCAGACAAATTGCAATCTGATGCAAACCAATTCTCTAGGTCTATTGTTCAGACTATTTATTAATATCTGGATTTTTTTGAGCAGGCTCAGAAAGAGCCTGAATTTGCCAGGTTTGTGCATCTTTGTTAAATTGTCTCTTAAAATATCAGCATCATTGTTTAAACTTGGACACTGTCTCTTTAAATATTAGGGCTCATAAACATGATATCACAGTCTTGGCCTTTAAGGAGGGCTCTTTTCTTGTCTTTTGCCTGTTCATGTTACTTTCTGGGCTGTTTGTCTGGAATTTTCTTTGTTGCTGTTTTACTGATTTTTGATCTGGCATCCATGCTGCTAATACTCTGTACCAACCAGTGGCGTCGCTAGGGGGGGGCCAGAGGGGGCCATGGCCCACCTACATCATGCTGTGCCCCCCCTTGGGCCCCCCCAAATGCCAGCAACTTGCTGGCCATGGGCTTCCCTCGGACTGTAATAGCCTGTTACAGCCCGAGGGAGGGAATGCAGTGCTGAGGTGCTGGGGGCTGTCTGTGGCTGGAGGGAGCACTGATTGGCTCCCCGGCACAGGCCCTGCCCCCAAACGGAGCCCCGCCTCTCGCCGATAAGCCCGGCCCCCGCCGTAATGCAGCAGCCCATGCTGCTTCAGAAAATGGCTGCCTGACCCCCAGCAACAGGTAGGCTGGGGGGGGGAGGGGTGTACACACACACACATTGCCCCCATACACACACACTGCCCCCCCATACACACATAATGCCCCCCATACTGCCCCCATACACACACACTGCCCCCCATACA